AAAAAAAAAAAAAGCTAAGCATGGAGTAAATATCAGTATCTAATTTGGCTGTATAAAGTCCATGGAAAATTTTAAGAACCTTCCTGCTAGATCAGAAACACTTTGATAGAGGCAATATAAGGAAAATCATGAAAAGGCTATCTTAGGGTGATAGAGGAACACTTTGATTTAGACACAAGCATAATTTTTCCTGCATTCTCGCATGCGGCTTGTGATACCTTCTTTCTATTTCATTTACTTTTTTGAGTTTGCTTTATATTTATCAACAGTTCACTGAGGAAGGACACATATTCGTCCAAGTCCACTTAGCTGAGCAATGCAAACCCACAAAAGTTGCGAAAATCGAAACCTACTCCAATGGGGAATCCGAAGCCACACCAAAATCTCAATCCTGGTTGTTTAACACACTTAGTGGGAAACAAGTGGCGGAGGACCGGAGCAGCTTGGACGAGGAATTCCTATACGACCCCACAAAAAATGAGGTTGTGGGGTTGAGAGTAAGCGTGGAGGACACGGGAATCGGCATACCCGAGCAGGCTCAGAAACGGGTGTTCACACCTTTCATGCAGGCAGACAGCTCGACTTCTAGAAACTATGGGGGCACGGGCATCGGGTTGAGCATAAGCAAGTGCCTGGTGGAGCTGATGGGTGGGCAGATGAGCTTCACGAGCCGCCCTCAGGTTGGAAGCACCTTCTCGTTCACGGTGGAGTTCCAGAGGAGTGAGAGAAGTGAAGTTATTTGTTTGAGTAAGTCGATTTCGGATGAAGTCAATGTTGCGTTGAAGGGGCTGAGAGCTGTTGTGATTGATGGGAAGCCGGTTAGGGCGGCTGTTACTATGTACCATCTGAGGAGGCTCGGGATTCAGTCGGAGGCTGTCAGTAGCATCAGGGTGGGTCTTTCTTTGTATGCGAAGCACGGGTCCCTTAAGTAAGCATTTTTTAATGTGATTCTTATTATTTTTTAATATTTATATATAGAGTTTTTATTTCCTTCCTTGGGTAAATTGTTCTTTCTGTGCTAAATACTTTCCTGCAGTCCAATTGAATTTGTTGCATGAAAATTTTGGTGGCAGTTGCCAGTTTTTTGATTGGTGAGTTTTTTTTTTTTTTTT